TGAATAAAGGAAGTATAAAACTTGTTCACCCTAAAGTACAAAGTAACGTTGAAAGAAATTACAGACCTAAATATTAGAAAGATATCCTATGTTCACTGATTGGAAGGTTTAAAGATTATTAACATTTCTCAAAGTGGTTTATGAATTCAATGGAATCACTATCAAAATCTCAGCTTCCTTTTTTTTTGTAGAAATTGAGAAGCTGATCCTAAAGTTTATGTGGAAATGCAAAAGATCAAGAAAAGGCCAAACTGGTCTTATAAAAAAAGGGCAAAGTTGGAAGTCTCATACTTTCCACTTTCAAAGCTACGACCTTTCTGTATTAAGCAAACGTTGCACTGGTATAAGGATAGACTAATTGGTCAATGGGATAGAATTGAGAGTCCAGAAATAAAAACCAAATGTTTGTAGTCAGTTGACATCAACAAAATGGCAAAACAATTCCTTCAATGAGGGAAGGAATAGTGTTTTAAACAAATGGTGCTGGGACAGCTAGATGTCCCACATGCCAATAATGAAGTGGAAACCTACCTTACACCATATGTGAAACTTAACTCAGAATGGATCGAAGATCAACATTTTAAACTGTAAAATCTTAGATGAAAAAATTGGCATAAGTCCTTGTGACTGAATTAGGCAATGATTTTTTCTCAGATAATACTAAAACGCAAGTAACGAACAACAACAACAAAAAAACAACAGATAAATTGGACTTTATCCAAATAAAAATGCTTGTACATCAAAAGATACTTTGATGCTTTTACATCAGGAAAGTAGAAAAGCCTACAGAATATTAGGAAAATGTTTGCCATCAAATATCTGATAAAGGGCTACAATCCAGAATACAACAAACATTTACAATTTAACAACAAAAAGATAAAATCCAATTTGTAAAAGGTCAAAGGATTTGAACAGACATTTCTACCTGATTTCAACAAATATCGGCCGTTGTGAATGTTTCAAAATGAAAAACAGAAATTCAAATGTTGTCTTGTCAGAATGCCAGAACCTCTACTTTTACTTTCTTTTTTCTGCATGTTATTTTTACCTATTCATTTAAACTAGATGAAAGAAGCCTACCTAGAATTAAGAGTCAGAGAAAGTTACAAATGAAATTTTTAAGTTTTTCTTATTGAAAAGTTCTAAATAGAGTTTGAAAGTAATTATTCAAACTGGTTAGAGTCACTGTTTGAACACTTATTATCTGTGCCTTTTTGTCACTCATTATAAAAAAGAGTTAAGATCTGAGTGAATCTTAGTGATACCTGCATATTGGAAAGACACTTGACAGTGTCTTCACGGACAAAATGGAAAGGGTGTTTATGTGTATGTGCCAGAACTGGTATGCAGACTAGATGATCATAGTATTGCTCCAGAAAATGTAAAGTTAGAATGCTTGTGAGTTTTATTTAAAATGGGGGGTATCTTACTGGTATGATCATTTTCCATGTTTGTGTTCCCCCAATCGTGGTATGTGGGCAAGAGATCTTAAGTTTGTGGCTCTGTGTTGGACAGATTTGGGTTTTACTTTTAGGTCCCCAACTTTTTTCCTTTCTTGTAAAAGGTGAAAAAGTATGATTGTTTTATAATTTTTGAGGGACTGCTATAGAAATTAAATGAGGTGGTATTTGTGCATTGCTTAGAACAGGGCCTGGCGTGGGATGATTGCTCCATAAAAGTCAACAGTACTATTGCCATGCATTATCCCTGTGTATAGCAAGAGCCTCAGAAACAAATATCCTAGCTTCGTTTATCTATGTGATACAGTCGCTAGAAAATATTTACTTTTATTTGAATGATTTGATTATACACTTGTGAAAAGAATTTAGCAAAATATTTCATTAAGAAGAGAGAGAAGCTCACGCCTCTCTAGCAGAGAATCCTAGCACTCTGGGAGGCTGAGACAGGCAGATTGCTTGAGCTCAGGAAGTATGAGACCAGCTGGAGCAAGAGTGAGACGACATCTCTACTAAAAATAGAAAAACTGAGGCAGGAGGATCGCTTGAATCCAAGAGTTTGAGGTCTCGATGTGAGCTATGATGATGCCACAGCACTTTACCCAGGCGCAACAGAATGAGAAAAGAAGAAGGAGGAGGAGGAGGAGGGGAAGGAGGGAGAGGAAGGAGGGAGAGCAAGGAGGGGAAGGAGGGAGAGGAAGGAGGGAGAGCAAGGAGGGGAAGGAGGGAGAGGAAGGAGGGAGAGGAAAGAGGGGAAGGAGGGAAAGGAAGGAGGGAGAGGAAGGAAGGAGAAAGAAGAGGGGGAGTGGAGGGGGAGGAGGAGGTGGAGAAGAAGAAGAAGAAGAAGAAGCAGAAGAAGAAGAAGAAGAAGAAGAAGAAAGAGAGATAAAAGAATCAATGAAAGGTATTTCCCCAAAGTGAATGAAGAGGGTCATAGGTAGAGGCTTTTATAACTAATTAATTTTTTAAAAGATAAATGAAAATTCTATGTATCTATTGCCATAAAACATGATGTTATGTACACTACTGAACGGCTAAATTGGGCTAATTCGCACATGATTACACAAGTACTTATATTTTTTGTGGTAAGAACACTTAAAATCTACTCTATTAGTGGTTTTTAACAATAAAATACATTGTTACTGACCACAGTCACCAGTCATACAATAGAGTTTTTGGATTTATTCCTCTGTCTCACTGACATTTTGTATCCTTTGTATATCTCCTTCAGGTCCTCACCCTCCCTAACCCCGGGCACTGATAGCCGCCACTCCACTCTCAGCTTCTAGGAGTTCACTTTGTTGCTGCACCCCTTACGTTCTGGTACATTGTGTGCACATTTTCATTTGTCTCCAGATATTTTTAAATCTGGTCCATTGGTTGCTCAGGATCATATTTAATTTCTACGTATTTGGGAATTTACATAATTCATTGACAGTATGGTATCCAGTGACAGATACCATCAAAGTATATTTGAATGACAGAGGTTTTGAAACCCTGTGGTAGGATGAACCTTTAGGATCAAGGTCCAAAGACTTTGTTCATTCTTGAATTTTTAGGTTTAAGGAAATGCAAATTCTTTTTTTTTTTTTTTTTTTTTTTTTTG